AAAAAAAAACACAGTTGGCCATCTTTTTTTTATGAGGTGGCATTTTTATTTAATTTAAAAATTTTAATATCCTTTTTTTCATCCACGTCATCTCTTCTTCCTCTTTCACTTTCTCTCTCTTTTACCTTTCCTTTTCCCTTGCCTCTGCAAACCCAGATCTGGGTTCTCTCGCAAACTTCATCTTCTTCCTCCCTTCCTTTCCTTGCTCATCCTTCTTCCTTCTTCTTCTTATTCTTTCTCTCTCTCTCTCTTCTCCTTTCTTCTTCCTCTTTCAAACCCAAATCTGGGTTTTTCTCAAACCCAGATCTGGGTTTCATCACATAACATGGAAACTAATCTCGAATATACTAAACAGCAAAGCCGAGATCTCCTAAGCCCACTAACAGAAAGGAACATAGATTAAAAACAATAAAGAATTTCTAGAAAAAAAGCAATTCGAGCCAAATCACATACAAGCCAAAGCCAAAGCCAACTGCAGATCTAATCTCAAAAATAATCAACACGAAAACCACTTAATCAACTCAGAAAATACACATAGAAAACACAAAATAAGCAAAAGAACAAAACCAGATCTATACCGTCCTTTTCTTCCCCTTCACCTTGATCACTCGTGCCCTGTTCAAACCCAGATCTGGGTTTGTTTTGGAGAGGAAGAAAAACCCACCTCCCTTCTCATCACTAAAATCCCCAAGAAGCACAGACCCAAACTTTCTCAAACCCGATTCCCTCTACATCTGCCCTGTCCAGCCAGACTCCACTCGGATCCCCTCCTTCGATTCTCTCCTCCACCGTGACGCTGCCTTCCGATTCATCACCAAGGTCAAAGAATTCCTACGCCATTCATTGTTTGTAATTCTGTTTCCTAAGTATCTGTGAATACCCAAAGAACCACTCTTTCATGGCAACCAAACACACACCAAAAAAGAAAAAGAAAGCAAAAAAACTTAGCCTGTAGAGAAACAACCCAGATCTGGGTTCTTGCAATTAATGTTAAAGGGCTCAAATCTTTGTAATCCTTGGCTCAATCGATTATGTCCATCATCGATCCATGGCTCTCATGGAGAATGGTTTTCTTAGAACTGAAAATTGGGTTCTTTCTTAGAGAGAGAATCTAGATCTGAGTTCTCAAGGGAGAACCCACATAGATCTGGAAGGGGAAAGAGGAAGATGAAGAAAGGGGAGAGAGAAACAACAAGAAAAAGGTCGAAGGAGGAAGGAAAAAAGAGGAAGAAGGGATGGAAGAGGAGGAAGAAGGCTGGGAAAGAGGAAGAGTCGGAGGGATGAGAGAGAAGAATGAAGGAAGAAGATGAACAATATAATATATTATATTATATTATGTGAGTTTTTTATTTAAATAGAAAAAATATGCCACATGGAAAAAAAAATTGCCATTTCATCACTTTTCGTATGATTTGTTTTCCACGTAATTATTATTTCTTTAAAAATGTGATTTTGTGGCATTTTAACATTGCCACCTGTCATTTAACTGACGGAAGGACCATTTTGGTACCAAAAAT